AAAGCCAGCGTCGATAATTAATTGGATATTTCCTTCTATACTTTTTAGCACGTAGCTATTTATTATTTGCATTGTTCTTCCGACGTCTGATTTCTTTTTAATTATAAGAAATGCGTTTTCCTAAGGTACATAAACTTTTGGGATTATACATTCTTAATGTACACATATCGTTAGTAAATGAAAACAAGAAATACGAAATACATATGCGGTGAGCTTGTAAGGCTCTTAACGAACCTGAAAATCCTTTTGCAAGGATCGAGAAATTATATTAAATTTCAGGATTACGAAATAACGAACCGAGAACCCAATTAATCGCTTCGGTTCTTCGACTGACGTGTATGAATACAGGTCTCTCGTGACCTGGCCATATTAGAGAGTTAATATGCATATTATGTTACGTCCGGAGCTAACTCTCAATAAATTATATTTTATTTGGAACTCTCGACCAGGAAATGCACTGATCTGAGAGGGATCCATGTACAGCGGTTTAGAAGCATACAAGTTAATTATTTTCTTGACGTCGTTGCTGCCAAAAAGCTGACGGCTTATCGGGTGGTTAGTGGAAGACCGCAGCTCTGTTTGACGGAGATTGAACGGCGCAAAGGGGTTATTTCGGCGGGTGCATGAAAAGAGAAAGGGTAACGTCGTCCGATAGGATACGTCTATTAACCTTCGATTTTTAACCTTCTTTTATACCATCGAGTAGATTATACTTTTATTACACATAAGTTTAGCATGGACAATATTTCGCATGTATAAAAAGCGATTAGAGCTTGCAGAGACGAATTAAGAAATTGAAGAATTCTAAAGAAATATATTGGTAATAATTGTGCCATTGATACATAATTGTATTTAAAATACCACAGCTTTAATTGTTCATAACTTCTAATCGTATCTGAATGAAACACGCTATTAGGAGCGCAAAAAATCTGTCCCGTCGAAATGCCGTTTGATTCATTGCGATGTGACGTCTGACTCCTGAGATATCGTCGTTTAAAGACCATCAGTTTTTTGGGCGCCACTCTTGCTATTCCCTTCTCGTACAGGTTGAACCTCTCCCTCGCGCCTTGACCCAGTTACTGACCTGCCTCGCTCCGGCCAGACGGCACCCGCGACAGTTTCCCCAGGAAATAACCCTTCGATTCTAGGAACAGAAGTGGGCTAGGATTCAGCACTGAGTGGGTCGCTTAAACGACGAAACTTTGGAACTTCATATCTCGTCAATGGATTGAGACGTCGTTATGGACCAAAAGCAATTTTTCTTATATTAACTATTATCTTGTGAACGAGTTTCCGAAATTCAACGTTATTTTGCTGTTTCTACTTTGTTTCATGGGCAGCACTATTAACGAGATTAATAAGTGCGATCAGAATCATGTATATCTTCTTTTCTTTTGAAATCATTTTAAAAGAGACGAGATATATTTTGTAGATTCCATCCTGTTCATTAAGACATATCTTATATCTGAGAACTATTTTGTATTTAAATGATCTTGAAAGAATTCCCAACACGGTTTCACGAGTTCTGAAGTTTAAGAATCCGGCCCGGGTGACCCGGACGGGCTTCCCCATTGCTTCGGCAAACATACTT